GTGGTGGTGGTGGTGGTGGTGGTGGTGGTGGTGGTGGTGGTGGTGGTGGTGGTGGTGGTGGTGGTGGTGGTGGTGGTGGTGGTGGTGGTGGTGGTGGTGGTGAGGTGGATGGTAGGTGGGATGGAGATGGAGGTGACGCGGTAATGGAGATGGTGATGATCTGACATGATGTGATAACAAATCCATGATAACGAGAATAATAATAATAATGGAAATACACATAGGATTATGGTAGAAAAAAAAACCGATGCACAAGCTAGATTTATTGAAGAAAGTTTGTACGTTGTGGGTTTTTCTACCATAGCATCAACACGGTATAGTGTTTTTCCATTCATATGATAATGATTTTGATAACAAAAATAATAATAATAAATAGAAGGATATTAAGTATAATCATAATGATCATAATAATAGTAATAATCGTATTAATACGAAAAGTGTTAATAAGAGAACAAATGTGATGACAACAGTAATAATAATCAAAGCCTAACGAAACCAAGCAGCTGTTATCGCTATACGTAGGCCTACAATGCGTTTGCAATAAACAAAAACTAAACGCCATACCTCCTGCAGTCTTCTGGGAGCGCGAATCTGTAGAGCGCCGAGAACATAAAGTACACAAACATGTATACGACAAGTTCTGGCAACACCAGTTTAAAAACGCTGCCCCGCCATCTGTGGGATGCGAAACGAAATGTCAATTTTAGAAACTGAATTTAAAAGCTGAATATATATCAACGTGTTTTCAGAGTTGGAATATTATGTTATGACTTCAATTTCTTATTTATATTCGTGTTTGGTATACGCTCTGAAGAACCATTAATCAATCACCCTCATTAAAAAGCTTTCGAAAAACTCATCCATAAAAGATAGAGCAAAAATGTCGAAATAGGTTATCACTGAAAAGCTTGAATTTGAAAAAAGAGCACCATTAAATGAGTCTCGAACAAAGATCAACAAAAGCTTGAAGTGAACGTGAGAAACCATACATGTATAAAAAACGATCTAATCAGCTGATGTGACACTGGCCAGAAACGCACCTGTTGCTGCACACTCACATTCTAAGGGTGCGTCCACACCAGCAGTGACATGGTGCTTGGAGACAAATTGGAAACATTGTGAGGGACAATAGGAGACATTCGGATGCAAATCACCTGATATGTATGGGGGCATATCTGTTACAATGTTCAGAGACATGTCGGCAATAAGAGTCCGTTGGTGAAACTGTCCACACCATGTTGGTCTGTTGGTTGGTGGGAGGCACCTGACGACATCACCTCGTTCACACCAGGATTGCTATGTCGGCCAACGAATCCGTACCAACATATCTACCACGATGTTCTTCAACGACTTAACAACTTGTTACCCAACTTGTCAGTGTTAATGTTCCCACCGTGTTTTGCCACTGGTGTGAACGCACCCTAACACCGTCTATCCCATACCTGAAGAGGAGTTTGGTGAAGGCGCAGAAATTGGTGTCGGGGATGTTTTTGCTGTAGGTGACGGTCATGGTTCCTCTGCAAGATGGGTGAAATAGAATGCTATTAAAACCGCCTTGCAGAAAAAACCATGTAGAAATAAGGAATTATATATGTTTTCTCTTTTTAAGGGAGGTAACAATTTTAAAATCTTCCTTGATTCTGTTTGTATTACTTGGTGTATCAGTGGTCGTGTCGTTGTTAGTTTTCTTTACTATATTAATTACATCGGTCACCTGTGTTTCAGATAAGCATGATTTTTTAAAACAATCTGGTTCTTAAAAATCTGTGATTCGATACTCTTAAGCATTATGTCTTACAATAAAAGGATATCTGCAATAAAATCATACATATCTGTATCATTTTTAGTATATCCCTTAAAGAACGTAGCTCCATGTGCTTCGTAAAGGGTTGCAACGCCTTTGCACGTATGTGTATTACATACGTACATGCATATAATACATAATATATATATATATATATATATATATATATATATATATAATATATTATATATACATACATACATACATATATATATATATAATATATATATATATATATATATATTACATATAAATATATATATATATATAATATAATAATATATATATATATATATTATATACTATTTATATATTACAGATCTAAATCTAAATCTTTGCAATTACATGACTATATCAAGAAATGCTAGAATTTCCTCATATAATCAGTTGTAATAACATCTGTCACTGTTGTCGAATATCAGGAGTTTTATTAGATATTAATTATATTTAAAATCACTATGTTCATTTATCATGCTGAAATGATAAATTAACAGACTATATATATAGGCGTATATCATGCCAGGTTTACCAGAACTATCATTATTATTATCACTCGACTCAACTAAATTACGACTCAAATAAATAAAGCATAAGGAAGTGGCCAGCCTACAGTTGTTCCTAAGGTTTCGTTTTAGTTGTAGCTTTTGTTTCGCACTTGAATTAATCACTTTTATCACCACGAAACATTCTTGTTATAAGTACTTACCGTCTGCAAAGGAGAAACGATAACCAATTTCAATAACTGTTTATAATCTGTCGTTACTGTAGGAGACTGCCGTGAGCTCCCTAGTGCAACTCCCTTTGCAAAAACACCGAGTCCGTCTGCTATATGGCTGCTGGAGGCTGCACTTTGCGGTTGCCAGTACGGGATTCGTACTTATTTGATATAGATATAAAAAACTCATATATACTTATTGTGAATAAATTACCGATAGGGAAAACTTGTAAAATGGGTTTGATATAGGAGAGTTGTATTTAATTTTTATTTATCTTCATTGCTTCGCTTACGTCTGAGCTTGACCCAGCATTTCTTGTAAAAGAAAACGGATGCCGACGCTTATACTTTAAGGGTAAACTTCGGATAATTGTTAATAGGCTTAGAATCTGAGTTAGTATAAATATAATACGTCAGTGTGTAAGGATCCGTATAACTGCGTTCGCTAAAAAAGACTGATTATTTATTTGGGTAAACCAACTAGTATTATTCCATTGACTGAAAAGATAAATAACTGGTTTAACTTTACTATTACAAGTTTAACGAATTTCAAACTGGAGTAAATTATGGACTTTGTTATGTCTTGATAACCTCACCTTCGGAATCAAGATTAGTTATTATTACCTTGTCGTGTGCTTATACCTCTTTACTAAAGGCTTGCTCACCATTTCGCATAAGCAAACTATCGTCAATATGGATATAAGCGGTGACGGATTTATATTTCTATATATAGATAGATTTTATATATATGTATATAAATACACACACACACACACACACACACACACACACACACACACACACACACACACACATATATATATATATATATATTTATATATATATATATGTATATATATTATATATATATATATATATATATATATATATATATTATATATATTGTTTTTGGAAGGCAGCCAGTGCTCAGCCATATGACAACAGTAATAATGATAGTGATAATAATAATAATGATAATGATGATAATATGATAATATAATGATATGATGATAAATAAATAATAACAGTTATACAGATGAGATAACGATAACAAGAAGCACTCAGAATAGCATACTCCGCTAAGGCAATAGGATGATAATAATTCAAGCGCCAAAAAGTTGTCCCTATCTCGCAATCCTGATAATAATAGTTATCCCCAAGAGATAGGGGTAAAAATCTGTGTCTGGATCACCACCAAAATTTAATGGCATCTAAGCTGGGCTAAGACACACCTCTGGTAAAAAAATAATAATAAAAAACTGTTCTTAACTATTTAAGTTATCTGACGAACCAACAAACTAACCACTGCTACCAAGAACATAGCCTCATTGTCTGAGGTAATTATAATGATATAATAGTTATGATGGTGGTGATAACAAAACAGTGGCCGTGATTATACTATATAAACTTCCATCATTACCATTCATGTTATATTATGACTGATTTTAATTATCTCCATCGCCATTATCCTTCCTGTTATTATTGAGAGGGGTATTTTGTCCAAGTCTGTCATTACCTGCGCGAATGGTAATTTTCTTTTATTTTTTATAGTTCATATATAGGTGATATTTACTTTGAGAAAGACTAAGTTTTTAATATTTTTTTAATGCATGATTTCCCCTCCAAGTTTCGGGTCTATATCACATCTAAATTCCAATTATGGAGCGGCCAGTCGACATACTACATTTTATGTGGAAAATATCTTTCATTTCCACACCGAGACGGTGTCTGTGTCTCGAGAATATGGTTATTGCATAATGGTTGTTTCAACTGAATTATCAATAACCCAAGAATATGATGTCTTTTGATTTAGTCTATAAATGCCAGCATATTATATAAAGTATTTCTTAGTGTTCAGTAAAATTGTAATACATGTATATTTGTTCCACGTATTCCTCGTATTAATCTCTGTTAAGAAACCCTTATTTAGGAAGCACGTTTTAACCGACTTACCCCTTAGAATCTCATTGATGATGTTAAGTTTGGAATTAACTATTTTCATAATGTGTTAACAGCGCTTTGGATCGATGAAGTGTGGCGTGCCTTTGAAACGTAGCGAGCAAGGTCTATATAAGTACTTAAATAGACCTTGGTAGCGAGTAGGCGTGTTGTTGGCCGTCCATTGAAACTGTAAGTTCTCGCCGGATGATTTGTTATTGATTGATTGATTTTTTAAAATGAGATCTTTATAACGGGAGAGTGCCACAAGGATCTCATCGTGGGATTACAAATCAGCGTGGACAGGAGAGAAGAGAAAAAAGACGGCATAAGAAACGCCAGACAACCGGTGAAATTGGAGGACGAGTCAAACGAAAAAAGGGTGACTTACGTTGTCTTATGTTGGACTCCACAGGAAGTTCTGGATTTATAAAATATCCAAAAAAGGTGACTTAATGGTGTATAAAGTCTTCCTTGAGAGTCAGTATTGGGTGAAGTTCACCATTTTTTATTAATTTTATCACTAGTCCTACAATTATACATGACTCATTGGATATAAATTTTGATTATAATTTATAGAAATCTAGATTGATGAGTTGAAATTTCATCACGGTATTTTGCTTATATGATTTTCGTATGTGCATTGGGACAACAGAATCTGTCTGTGAGTTCAAAGGGTAGCCCATGCTTCGAGAACATCGCCCAACAATTGTGTTAGAATTATATATATTTGATAAATACAGTTTTGAAATATTGATATATCTCTTTAGGTAACTCTAAAATATGTAGAATATCTCGCACGGAAGATATTGCTACGTATGCGCATGTTGATGTTCATATGTTCGGGGACGCTTCTCGAGGCTCACGAAAGGAGAGCGACGCTGGGCATGGCGGTCTGGACGATTGATCAGCATTGTGACGCATTTCAGACAGCGATATTGACAGTTCTGTGAAGTGTCATGAGAAAGGCGTGTGCTGTGGGAATTCAGCAGGAAGTATGCTTTCACGTTAAGATAAACTGGTGGAGTGTTATGAGTGCTAAAGGAGAAATTTGAGCGACTGAAATAAGGCTAGGTGAAGATGGCCAGCAGCAGTGACCGGTGACTCGCTTTATACGCTCCCCGTGGATATTAGTAATGTGAAGTGAAGTGTGAAGAGTTTTTACATGAAAATCATGCCATCCTTTTGTGTCATATTAAGCATGCATTATCGCCCTGCCTCTCTGTGGTAAGAATGGAAATAAAGGAATGTTAAGTTACATCTGTGCGTTTGTCTTCGCCCGCCTGAGAAAGTTACTCACACAGCACAGATGTTTCAATATTTTTATTAAGTTCGCCTAGCTCTCTCTTTATATATACTTTGTCTAATATTAATTTGAAATTGCCTATTGAAGGCTTTAATTACTGGTGGGTATGATTAAGTGATTTGCCAGATATTTCCCCATTAAACCTCAATTTAGCTGTTTTAGCAGGTATCTGACAAAGTGTTAGGCAGAATTTGTTTGTTGTCTGGCTTGTGGGATTTGTTGTCTACCATGTAATGGCCAATTGAAGTAAGAACGTCAGGCTGTAACCAAAATATGCTTGGCAAATCAGTTTACTTGACAATGTATTAATTTGTTCCTTGACTTGTAATAGATTCACTTTAGTAAAAGGTATTGGTTCCATTTCAGCTATGCTTAAATCGTTCATCCAAGACGAAAGCGATGTGCTGAGTGGTATTCCACAGAACTGAGAAGAAAGACATGAAGCACAAAGACCAGAATCCACCTAAATGACTGTCAGATGAGATGGTATCACTTAACATAAAAGGGTACTTCAGCAGAAGAGGTTGGGCATACCCAGAGCGTGTTGTGCAACTTAGGTGACTGAATGGGAGTGTCAAACATGGATACACTAAGCGCTGGACCAAGTGTGGGACGTGACGCCTGTTTGGAATGGTATCATCTGTCATGAGTAGGACTCTTGTCAGCTCTAAAGGCAAAAGGGTTTGGATCCGCAGGGCATGCCACTCTATATAAGGATGTGGAAGTCAGTGGCACTCACCAATCTCA